TGGAGACAAAGGACATCCCTGTCTAGTTCCATTCCGCATTCCAAGGCACTCTGACAATTCCCCATTAACCATGACTGCTGCAGAAGGTTGACTATATAATTTCCTTATCCATTCTCTTATTCTGGGTCCCATCCCCAATATTTCCAGCGTATCCAACATATAACCCCAATCCACTCTGTCAAATGCCTTTTCTGCATCTATTGGGAGGACCACTGCCGAGGTTTTCTCTCTCCTACTTTATTATATGAGAAACAAAGATCTTAATCCATTGTCTCTACCCTCTCTTCCTGGGATGAAACCTACCTGATCCATATGTATCCATTTTGGCATCAAGTCTTTTAACCTATTTGCCAGAACTTTTGCAAATAGTTTGGTATCTGTGTTCAACAAGGAAATCGGTCTATAGCTTGCACATTGAGTGTCATCCTTACCTTCCTTATGTATGAGGACTAGGCTTGTAAAGATTCCCTCCTCATTTCCATCTCTCCTCCTCAATTTGGTACTAATAATTCCATATATTTTTTATAATATCTCACAGTATACCCATCAGGTCCAGGACTTTTCCCTGCTAAAGTACTTTTTTAACGCTAAGTATATTTCTTCATGCGTTATGGTTGATTCCAGAGATTTTAATTGTGCCTCCCCTAATTTCGGTAGTCCCGCTTCTTCTAAATATGTCCGTCTTTTTTCAATTTTTCCTGCATCATCTTTAATATGGGGAATAATATTATATAGCTTATTATAATATTCTTTAAACACTTTAGCTATATCTTTAGTTGAATACACTAATTCACCTTTGTTGTCCCTTATTTTCTCTATATAGTTCCTGGATTTCTTTTTCCTCTGAGCCCTCATTAAATATTTTCCTGGTCTATCTCCCCATCTATATCTGTCACATACCATTTTATTAAACACTCTTCTCTTATCTTCTTCCAGAAAATTATTTAATTCCTCTCTTTTGTTCATTACCCTCTGCATAATCTCTTTTGTTATTCTATTTTTATGTTTCTGCTCTAACTCCCAGAGTTCCTTCAGAAGCTTATTTATTTTTTCTCTTCTTTCTCTCTTCTTTTTTTACTCCCATCGCTATCAGGATACCTCTGATATAAGCTTTATGAGTCTCCCACACTGTTGCCACAGGCACCTCCTCAGAATCATTTTCCTTAAAAAATTGCTTTATCTCTTTTTCAATCTTTTGATCCGTCTCTTGATCCTGGAGAAGTGCCTCATTTAACCTCCACAATTTCCCCCTATTCAACTCATTTCACCATAGTAATTTCATTGTGACCTGAGCATGATCCGATATTGATATCTCTTCTATTTTTACTTGAACCAGAGACTCAATAAGTTGATGGTCTAACAATATATAATCCAATCTTGAGTACGTCTCATGTGCATGAGAATAAAACGTATAGTCTCTGTCCTTCATATGCTTAATTCTCCATATATCTACAAGTTGACATTGATATAACATTTTCTTTAAAAATCTAAGAGACCTACTCTCATCCCTCTGCAAACGAGACATCATATCTGAGGATCCATACAAAGATTAAAATCTCCCGCCACAATTAAACTACTTTTCTTGAAATCCATTAGTTTCTTCAGCGTATTCATTAGGAACTCCTCCGGTTTCTTGTTTGGTGCAATAATATTTGGTAGAGTACACTCCAAATCCTGTAATTTCCCCTTCAGGAACAGATATCTCCCTTCTGGGTCTACCACACTGTCTTCCAAATTAAACCAGATATTTTTCACAAAACCTATTGCCACTCCTTTGGCTCGTTTATTTGGGGAATCTGCATAGTACCATATTGGATAATATCTGGAATTTAGTTTCACATTTGCTTCTTGTTCTAAATGTGTCTCCTGTAAAAAAAACCACTGAAGAAAATATGTGCTGAATTTCTTTAAAAATCCCCAATTTCTTCCCAAAGCTATTTAAACTTTTAACATTATAAGACATAAAATTAATCTCTTCCATTCTTCCTTTCTTCTCCTCCCATCTCCCTCTTCCCCCCTCTTCTCTCTTCTCCGTATCTTCTCTTTCTTTCTAGGTATTCTCCAGACAGATATATTTCTTACTATTTTGCAGAGTCGAAAACTACCTACCCTTCCCCCATACCCTCCTCCCATCCACCCACCCTCCCCCCCACTCCCTCCCATCCCCCCTCCCTTTTTAGGCAAATAATTAGCCTATGAATCATTTGTGTTCTAAGTCCCACCCTTGATTCCACTTTAGGGTGAAGCTCTTGAACATGCCCACCTCAACCAATTTACTCTCCCCTAGCGTCTCGTCAGCTTAACCGAAAGGAGGAATATTTAAAAGAGGAGGAGAGAGAGAGAGAGGAAAAAAAAACCCTCTCCAAACATAAAGAGAAGAAAAGAAGAAAAGAAAAGCAGACAAGCTCTTCCTAGGGAAAAAGAGAGGAGAGAAGGAGGGCAGCGTGGAAAAAAAAAAAAAAAACCCAAACACACAAGGGGGGAAAACCTCTCTTGGCATCCTCCTCTCCCCCTCCCTTCCCTACATTCCCTTCTAAATTTCAAGTTCTCTTCCGGACCCCCTACCATTCCTCACTTTCTACATTCCCACTTTCTTCCTCCTCCTCACCCCATCCAGAAATATCTATATTTTGCAGCTCTAGCCTCTCACAAAAGTCCCTCAGTTCATCAGGAAACCCTAATTTGGCAGAAAATCCATTTCTCCAACTGATTAAACATGCTGGGAACCCCCAACTGTATCGAACGTTCTGCTTCCTCATTTTGTTCTACTAATGGTTTCAAAGTTCTTTTTCTTAACAATGTCTCTGCAGCAAGGTCTGCAAAAAAACTGTATATTTAATTCACCATATTTCTCCTTTCATCCTCTTCCAGATCTCGTCTTTATAACAGTAATGATGGAGTTGGACTATAACATCTCTCGGGTTACCTTTTCTACCTTCTTGTTGAAGTCTCCCAATTCTATACACCTCATCTATTTTTATACGGTTCCTCTGCAGTTCTTTCCATTACTCTGTCTAACATTATTCTCTGTTATTTCCCTCAAATCTTCTCCTTGAGAGATCTCAGGGAGACCTCTTATCCTTATTATTTCTCCTGAGCCTATTTTCCTGATCTTCAAATTTATATAGCAGATTTCTGTGTTCTTTTTTCATTTCCACCATTTGTTTGCCTATTTTTTCCTCCGTATCCTCTACTCTAGATAGCACCTGCCCCAGATCTTTATGTAACTTCGCCATTTCCTGTTTTATAGATTTTTCCAAACTTTTAAACATTCCTGCAATTTCTGATTTAGTTGGCAGATTTGTGTTCTGCTCTTCTAAGTTCTCCTGCAGACCTATTTTCTGATTGTCTGCTTCCTCCACATTTTGGCTAATATTAGGTAGTCCCAAGGACAATCTGGAACTTTCTCCAATGCTGTTTTCCAACAAACACTTTTCATTTGTTCCATTTTGCTTCTCAGGAGTCTGTTTTTCCTGCCCGGGAATATATTTTTTAATTGAACTTATTTGCAGGGCCTTTGACCCACCTCCTTTTGTTGCCTTGTTTTTCATTTTTTAATATATATATGATAATTTAGGTACTTCAACATCCAGATATCCACTTCTCCAACCATATATTTTTCCTTCTTCTCCTTCTTCTCTTCTCCTTCACCTCCTCTCCACCTCTGTGTCCTCTTCTCCTCCATCCCCCTCTTTCCCCCCACAGGAACTCAGGATCTTTTCAATACATCTCTCCCTTGTATAACCTTTAAACACTTGAGTCCAAGTCCCTCATTAGTCACTCAGATGACCCCCTAAATGCAACCCCCATGATCCAGTCCATCAAACATTTGCTTCCATCACATAGTCACTAATTAAATTATTTTAAATATTTAAAAAAAAAAATTCTGCCACTCTCACTCACCCAAGTTGTTCTTCCTTCACTTCAAAGAGAGGGGGCATCTAGATGCTCGACCAAAAGGGGGTTGCAAGTGGATATAGCTCTCACATTCTGTTCGTCTTTGGGGATCTTTTGGTACTGGGGCTCTTTTGGTACTGAGGCTCCCCTGATGCCTTGTTTAGGGGATGGTTTTCACTTTAGAGGGGTGAGGGAGACAGAGAGGACCGAGGCAGTGTGTATCCCTGTATGCAGGCCGGCTTCTTTCTCCCTCTGACACACCTCCTCTGCTGTCGGTCACGTGTCTACTCAGCTCCCTCCGGTCTCCAGCTTCCAGGACTCACCGCTTCCTCTCGCTTCTCTGGATCTGCCCGATCGACTGCATCCACCTTTCACTGAGATCCATGGGAGACAGACCAGACAGCCCCAGAGCCACAGCAGGTGAGTCCCCTCTGCCAACCTCGATCGCCGTGCTGCTGTTGGGAGGCTGAAGGAGCTGGGTGCCATGAGATCTCACCTTGATCTCACGATCAGCGCCATGCCCAGGCTCCTCCCCTCCGAATACATTGGAGTTCTCATCCCTGCATGTACTATTTTTTTTCCTGCTTCTTGTAAAATGTTTAATTATTTTTTAATATGCTTAACATGCTTAACCAACCTTCAGGTGAGATCTTGTATTGTTATCATAGCTTTTGCTATACAAGATCTGTCCTAACTGAACTTCCTGTGATGTCCCTTCATGTATATGAGCAGCATTATCTTCGTTATGTTTCACTGTAAACATTGCTTTTTTGGAAAAATGATAAAATAAAGAATGTTTTTTTAAAAATGCTCCTTGCATATATTGATATGGCGCCATCCAGTGGTTTGTTGCTTTTGCTTCAGAGACTGAATTTTATGCCAGCTAATTGGGGAAAACATACAAAGGAAATAAATTTTTCTCATTTTGGATGGATATCTGACATCTGTTAGCTATATTTCATGCATATTTCATTCAGAAACATTAGGTGTGTACTGATGTCAAGAAAAGTGACTGTTAAAACACAGTGGGGGTGATTTACTAAATCTGGTGAACACAAAATCTGGTACAGCTGTGCATAGTAACCAATCAGCTTCAAGGCTTTATTGTCAAAGCTTATTTGAACAAGCTGAAGTTAGAAGCTGATTGGTTACTATCAGGGGCGGTCTGACAACTCATGGGACCCCCGGGTATTAGGGGATCATGGGGCCCCTGTGTCCTTGCCCATACCCAAAAAAGCCTATGAAAAAGCCAATGAAAGGTACCAGGGACATCTCATGGGGCCCCCTACTGACCCCGGGCCCTCGGGCAGTGCCCAAGTGCTCGAATGGTCAGTCCGCCCCTGGTTACTATGCACAACTTCACCAGATTCTGTGTGCACCAATTGTAGCAAATCTCCCACAGTGAAACTAAAAAGGTCACACTGCATCCTACAGCAGAAGTAGCACAGTGTGCACATGCATGCACTTTCAGATGCTGCTGCTTGTGAATGCATATTGTAATGACAAATATCTACGAGAGAGAGAGAGAGAGAGAGAGAGAGAGAGAGAGAGTACGAGAGAGAGAGTACGAGAGAGAGAGAGAGAGATTCTTTACAGGAGAAACAGTGCTATTGTGCAGTGTATTTTTTTGGATCTGCTGTTTGGCACATGCATTTTTCATAACATAGTGAGCAATCATGGTGCTTGTCACCTTCGTTATAGTTTGTTTTAACACAGAATTCCAACAAATACACAATGTAAATGTGAACTGCAAACTGTACAATTAATATGTGTATATGCTTTAGCAGATAAGTTAAAAAGTTAAAAGTTTCTCTGTGTGTACAATAAACTACATGCAAACTCGCAACAAGAGCAATACAATCATCTTCATATTGATCTTAAACTACTCCTTCTTGCATTTTCTTTTAATAAGTCCCAATGTGCTCAATGCTACATGTTACAACAGTGTTTAATGCATAATTGTTGTAACTGTTTATGGAGAATCCAAAACATTAAAGTGGCTGTGTAGTACAAAACTTTGGGTGCTAAAACAAATTGCCAATACTGTTGGACAATCCCACAAATTACAAGGCTACAGCTATAATTTTCTAATTTTATACAGATACAAACACAATTATTAAGCTGGTTTACAAAATTGTAAAACAATAAAATATATATAATGTTGAACAGTTATATTCACTGCCATGCTGTGCTTTCAAAACTACAGAAATAAACAAAAGGGGCCCTTATACTGTAAATGTGTGGATGTTTAATGTACCATTTAACAATTTACACTTTTTGGAGAGTATTGCATGAATTTTCTCTCTAACTGTATTTAGCTCTTCCCTGTTGCAACTTCTGCCACTGTCTAACCTATCACTAACCAATACAAAAATCTAGGCCCACAACAAATACCCACTGGCAGCAACAAATCATTTTCCTGCTTAGCATTGCAGCATTGTGTATCTCTCCCAAAGAGATCAATAATGCAGCATGTGTAGCACACTGTGGAATATGGTGGATTTGCACTGTGAAAGAAAACAGTGAAAGGGCCTTAATGGGTCATGGTTAAAAAAAAGCCAGAGTCTACTTTGATCTGTGTAAAAATTAAGCAATGCACAGAGTAAAGGGTCAGGAGTGTGTAATTCACAGACTGCTGAGTTTAGAAGTAACTAATACACAGAGTGTAGGGTTCAGGAGTAGGTAATGCACTGGATGCAGGAGTCAGGAGTAAGTAATGCATATTGATAATGCAGGTCATTACTGAAAGTTTCAACTCTTCCATTACATAAGCTTTACTACACACAAAACACTTTGTCTGGGCTTACTTTGACGAAGAAAAACTTTGTTAACAGCAGCTGCTGAGGTAATGAACACTTTGTTCAGGAGGGATGGAGAGAGAGAGGGGGGGGGGCATAGGGGCAGAGAGAGAGGGAAAGAGAGAAGGATGGAGATAGAGACAGGAATAGAGAGAGATAGAAAGAAAAGAGGGGAGAGATACAGAAATAAAGGGGGTTAAAGAGAGGGGGAAGGGAAGAGAGAGGGAGAGAGAAAAAGGAGGGAGATAGGGGAGAAAGAGGGGCAGAGAGAAGGGGGAGAAGATGGAAAGAGAGAGTGGGAGGGAGAGGTGGGAGAGAGGTGAAAAGGAGAATGAGAGGATAGAAAGAGAGAAGGGAAAAGAGAGATGAGAGGGGAGGAGGGGGGAGAGAATAGGAGAAAGAGGAGAAAATCTGGGAAAGAGGGGAGAGAGCTAGAGAAAGTGAAGAAGAGATAGGGAAAAGAGAAAGAGAGAGACAGGGATGGAAAAGGGGGATAGTAGAGAGAGGAGGAGGAGGAGAGAAGAGAAGAGAAAGAAAGGAGGAGGGAGAGAGGGGAGAAAGGGGTAGACAGAAGGAGAGAGGAAGAAAAGAGAAAGGGAGGTAGCAAGAGGTAAGGAAAAGATGGAAAGAGAGAAGGGAAAGAGAGAGTATGAAGGGGGAAAGAGAGAGAGAGAGAGAGAGAGAGAGAGAGAGGTGGTGAGGGGAGAAATACAGGGAGGAGAGGAGGAGAGTGAGGAGGGGGGGAGAGGGGGCAGAGTGGGAGAGAGAGGAAAGGAGATGGAAGAGAGGGGGGAGAGTTAAAGGGAGAGGAAGAGGTGAAGATAGAGAGGGGAGTGGAGATGTAGATAGAGCAGAGGAAGATAAGGAAGAGAGAGAGGGAGGGAGAGTAGTCAGCATAAATAAAGTGTTAATTTAGGTAGAATATTTATAACATTTACAGCTCACAACACAAATTATGGATTACCTAGGGACCAGGGGTGGACTGACAACTTATGGGGCCCCTGGGCAATAGGGGATCATGGGGCCCCTGTGTCCTTGCCCAAACTAAAAAAAGCCTATGAAAAAGGTACCAGGGGTATCTCATGGGGCCCACTACTGACCCCGGGCCCTTGGGCAGTGCCCAAGTTTCCAAAAGGTCAGTCAGCCCCTGCTAGGGACCCAGGCTCAGCTCATCTCTGGCTCAGTCATCAAGCGTGGTCTCCTCCAGGGTCAGGCCATGCCCTGATAGGAAGTAGTGGATGGTGGCAGGCTTTAATTTAAAATGTGCTGTCCTCACAGGCTCAATGTGCATGTCTTCACTGCATGCCCAGAAGCTTCTATCCATGCTCACCTACTGTTCAGTCTTGCAAGTCTGTGTGATTGTGATATCTATCTATTGGAAAAGGTTTGGTATTACCCGGTATTCTCATCCAGGAAAGTTGAAGGGCTCCAGGGTGAGTGTCTCATTCAGTAGAAACTTTTTTTATTTCAGTTTTCTTAGTGATTGGTAAAACCAATGTTTGGAATGGTTGTCAGGAATCTCTTCAGGAGTTATTGGAGACTTTGAATAAGAATGACAGAGGTAAAAAGTTAAACTTCAAGGTGAGTCAAACCAAAATCCATTTTTTGGATTTAAAAATATATAGAAGGGGGGCAGTTTGTCTCTTCCATTTATTATAAACCAACTGATCGCAATCCCTTTATCCCTATGGACATTTGTCACCATCAGTTTAATAATTGGTGCCCCATAGTCAATTAACGCGCATTAGGATTATTTGTACCAAACAGGGCAATTTTGTCCAACATGCAGGTGTTTTGAAACATAGGTTTGTTGAAAAGGGGCATGACACAGAGTCTTTAGGAACGATAATTCATTCAGTACAAGAAATGGATAGGAATCTTTTTCTGGCTGAGAGACCTAAATAATTGGGGATAGTTTTTCTTATTCTTTTGTGACATCTTTTTCTACACAGCATTATTCCATTATATCTAAAATTGGCATATCTTGCAAATAACATTCTGGGTTCTGTACTGCCCCCTAAGCCTGAAGTTGTGTATAAAGAAGTCCCTTCTCTTAGGAGTAAAATTGCCTCAAATATGTTTGTCTCCCTAGTAGGCCGACATTTTTTCATAATTTAATAGGTTACTATTAGTGTAGGAAATGTTCTATATGTAATTTGAATGGGTGTCCAATATAAATCTTCCTATCAAACCATTTATTACGTGTACAATCACAGGTGTGGTGTATGTTTTACAATGCCCCTGTGGTATCCAGTATATTGGGAGGACCACAAACAGGCATTGAATGTTCGCCTGAGTAAACACATGGGCAACATTAAAAGAGGTTATAAAGAACATAGTGTACCGAGACATAATGTGGAGGCATATAATAAAGATTCATCAGGCACTATCTTTCTTGTTATTGATAAATTTATCCCCCATTGGAGGGGTAGTGCCATGAAAAGCAACATTTCCAAAATGGAGACAAAATGGATATATCATGTAAAATTGTACTCCCCATAAAATCTAAAAAATAGACTGGGAAATAAATGCATTTATTAATAACACTCAATGTGCTGGAGTTGGTGAAAGTAAATATCATTCTTTTCTTTTCCTTCTTCCCTTTCCTTGGTAATTTGTAGCTATGATTTTTTTAATCTAGTCAAACAATAAATAGTGGCATTTAATGCTCTCTCACCTGCTGTAATTTTTTAAATTTTTAAATTTACATTTAAAATTTAAAAGAATTTAAATTAAGAGCTCTCTCTCTCCTATTCTCTCAGCTGTGAGAGCCTGCTGCTGGCTGAAGAGGCTGATTGCTGACATAACAATTAAAAGTGCATGTGCTGAGTGTTTTCTTAGGTAACCCATTAGAGGGCACCCTCTCAATCAGGAGCTGACATTAGTTAAGTTAGTGGCTGGAACAGGCAGATGTTTTGTTTTTGCTTTATGCTATGAACTATCTGTACAAAGCCCTCCTGTATTGAAACTGTGGATGCTTATTGCTTTACTAATTAAAAATCAGTACAAACCTTCTTGGACTGTTCTTGGGTGTCCTTGTCTTGTGCACAGTTTACCATTGCCATTTCAAGTCAATTACCTTCACATCCACTATACTGTAAAGGTGATTTCAAATATCAAGTATATGCATATCCATGGTTTCTATAGTAAAACACTTCTTGGTATTAAAAAATTCTGTTAAAAATAGATTTTATTATATATCATATAGGTGTATTTATGTATTGCATATGCAATTTTTTTGGTATCTCATTTTCTTCTGTAAACTTACATATGTAGATGCCTTGCGACTGCTCTTTGTATGTATCCTCACCTTTTCAAACATAAGAAACTCAAATTTTAATTTAAATGTATTACTTGAAATGTCAAAGCACTTCATCAAATATTTGCCTGACCTTATGATCAAATTTATAAGGGGAACATGAAAAGAGATAAAAAAAAATAAGAGAGTAAATAAGATACTTCACTGTACTCAGAATAAAAAAAGGTAGAGCTTAAGTAGCAAAATGTAAAAGTTATTATTGTATCCTAAAAAACTAAGTTTTAAGGTACAGTGATAGCTGTAAGAAACTTGTTCAGCATATAAACACATATTTTTAAACAAACTTTTTGTACAGTCATTCCTGATTAATTGTTTTATGGCACTTAAATCATAAGGCTGCATTTTAGAGGAAGCATGCACTGAAGGAAATATATAGAACACGGTTGAGCACCTATGAGAAAGCTAGGTGCCTCATAGAATTTGGCCCTTTTTATGTTTTGGAATGAATTTCCCCCATCCATCTATGAGTTTTAACCTGCACAAACAGGTTGGCCCATCTCTGATCAGGACAACAGATGAGTAAAGAACATTTTCATTGAAGATATCAGTTTTGGCAAATTAGATATTTTGCCACTGCAGGATTTCTTTAAGCAAAAAAAAAATTACAAGAGATAAAGAAATTAATTTTTTGTTACTGATTAATGCAGAGGTCTGAGGGCTCTTGTCATCACTTGTCACCTGTGCCTAAATGCTGGAAGGCTTTATATCCCCACCATTACTTTAACAAGAAAAGGTGCCTTTTTAATCTTTTTTTACTATGATTTGAGGCCATATATTCCTCACACAAATGTCTATCCTGCCATGCTTTTTCCCATTCCTGTACTTCCCCAGTCTCACTCGCTTGGTTCATGTCATATGCAAATTATATTCTTTGTGCATACTTTGCAGTTAGACTTGTCATTTTTCTGCACTTTATACATTTATTAGCAGTTCTTTGCATACTAGTCAACTGTTTTATGTATTTCCACCTTCTCACAATAAATAATTTAAGCTTATGCTGAAGTGACCCTACTGGTCACAAATCATTATTCTTACTTTGGAATCTGTCAGAGTAGTTTCTTGTTCAGTTTGGATAAATGTGGTAAGGACAATAAAGTAAATAACGGCCAAGAGAACATGAGAGGAAAGTGAAAAACCATGAGATACAAAAAAAAAGGTTGAATAATATTGTCAAAGCAGGATTCGATGTTGAAGGAGTAGGTCAGAGGGTCCATTCACACCAGGTGAGTTGAGACTGCATTGGGCAACTATTCCACTGCAGTCCCACTGCACCTCCACCACAAGACAAAGCTTGTCTTCAGTATGGCTGGTTCACACCACTGTGTCAAGGTGGTACACAGGAGGCATGCATTGAAAAAAGTCCTGTGTTCAGAGTCACTGCATGCTTGTTAATAGAAATCTATGAAATGTTACTGTGTGACATTTCAATAAACTTTGTTAAGAATAAATAAATAAACAAACAGTGCAATGTGCCTGTATCAGCACATTAACAGTGCACTGGTCTGGCCAGACAGCACCACACACCAGCCACTGTGTTGCAATACAGCAGTTGGTGTGAACAAGCCCAGAGTGGATTGTGTCAACCAGAATGGTTGTAGAGACCCTTTATAGATGATACCTGGAGATAGGTGCCTTTGTCATTGAAAGAGCTAAAATTCAGCTGTTGGAACACTGAGTGGCATATGCAGTGGTGGTTTGGAGTATTAGGAAGTCACTTGCTTTTGTGTCAACTTTTTCTTTAAAGTTGGAGTGGTTAGAGGTGTAAGGAGTATTATGAGGTTGATTTACTAAATTCAAATAGACTGCACTCATATTCCCCAGAGCTTAGTGAATGTGGTGAAGCTTCATTTTTTAAAGAATACCCAATCAGGTGTGAGGACAATAAAAAAAACAGCATTTTTGCTTGCACATGATTGGATTATTAAAATAAGCAGAACTTCACCACATTCACTATGCTCTGGGGAAAATGAGTGCAGTTTATTTATCTTTAGTAAATCAACCCTTGTGTGTGCAAGTAATCTTGCTTGATTGTGTATGTAAGGAAGTGTTACAGTGCCTTGAAAGATTTGACCCAACTTGTTATGTTATGCTTATGAGAAGTCTTTAGTGAAGGTCATATGCATGCAGACAAATGTGAGTCTATTGTTTCCAACAGCAGTAACAGTAAGAATCTGTGGAGTGGGCAGTAAAGTGAGAAGTGGTTGAAAAGAATGGAAGACTGGGCACCAGGTACATTGTGAAGAGGCTGCATAAGTAAAATCACATAAGAGGTAAAAGATGTCTTCTTGGTTATGGATCCTGGAAAAGAGTCAGAGAAGATTGGACATCTAGCAGAAAATGTGTAAGGTTTCCTGGATTTAGCTGTGAGACCCAGGGGTTAATGTTTGCTTAGTCTGCAGACGGATGGGATTGAGTCTGAATAACATCTTATTCAGTGAATTCACAAAGTGGTGCATGATGTAGGTTAGGGGTACTGGCTGACTTTGTGAACCTGGAAGTTCTGTTTGTTATTTACATGCTGATGAGGGAATATTGCACATATTGAAAGTACAGTACAGTTATTTTCTTATTTCTAAGATAACAAAAAAAGTGAGCGCTCTCTGGAGTAAGCTGCTGGACACTCAAGGAAACCAAAAGAAAACCTTATATCAAATAAAAAATATAAATAGTGCAGCGCTATAAGTATAATGCAAATGGATAGTAATTTAAATGACTATACGTGTAGTAAATAGTCCATATATAAGAAATAGTAAAATATTGACTGAATGTTCCGTGTTTCATCTGCATTAATTTAAGTGGATTTTATTTGTTTTTACCATGGTTACTTTCTTTAATAAA